ATTGTTAATAGCAGTTAGAATCTCTATATAACGAAAAGTATAATTATATAATTTAGGATTTGAAACCTGTTTCATAAATGCATTTTCGTAAAAAACAAATATAAGTTGGCCATATTTGAAGTTAGCTCCCATTGGAATCCCCACAGTTTGTTTATATAACTGTTCATTAAAAGTAATATAACTATTATAAACACAGAAATTAAGAATGTTTTTACATTGAATTTTAGTAAATTTATACTTAGGAATATAAAATAACCTTCACACTTTCCAGTCGTTATCCAAAAGTCATAATGGAGATTGCCTGTGGTAATAGCACTCATGCTTTTTGTTTTTTTTTTTAAATAGTTTTGAATTTATATTAAGTTCATTATAGTGCTGATCTTGATCACCTATTGACAATTAAGGTAATTAATATAATAGTCTTATTATTTAGAGAAAAACTATGTTAAGCTGTTGATTTGTTGCCTTTACTCCTTTTTCTTATTAAATGTCATCTGTCTTGTATACTGTCTTATAGTCCAGCTAGCTATATGACAGTTTTCCAATTAAGCTACTGAAATTTATATAAAAGTTACATGCAATACTTCTAAATGTTTAACATGTCCAGCAGCCATGGATTTTCAACATGTACTGCAGGATATACCACTATGTACAATGTAATTTATTTACTAACTTGTGGTATATGTGGTTATAAATATGTAGGGCAAACAACTAATCCTTTACATCTAAGGATTAACCTACACAGATCTCATAGTAATAAGGGCTTTCTTCATTCTATTGAAATAGATCATTTTAATAAACATTTTTTTCAATAATGCAAGAATAACTATTTTCGATAAAGCTTACAATGAAACTCTTTTAACAGAAAAAGAAGAATATTTTATTTTAAAAGAAACAATCAAGTGTGAGTAGAGGTAAGTATGTTTTGGAAGTTAACATTGTCCTAAATTGAAGATGTATTTTCATTAATACTTATTTCCTTTCACTCTCTTGGGATTGAGTCAGTTTCGAAAAATAACATTATCTAAATGAGGTGCTTATATACAATACCAGGATAGAGGGCACATTGACGTAGGTGAAGACGATCATGAGATAAATATTGCCAAGGATAATTGAGTGGGGTATGAAAGAGCAAGAAAAAAAAATCAATCCAATGGGTAAAGGAAGAAATATTGGCAGTTGAATATAGCTAGCTATATTCCTCCTCCTACTTGTGCCATGCCTTCCCATGCTTCTCCTATGAAATCTACTAAGCCTAACTCTGCCTTTTTGGATATGCTTTATCAGGTATGTTCCAATTTGTTTAGTTCTTATATGATACTATTTCTTTTTTCAACATGACACCCATAATTGGAGTCCCTTGTGTTTTCCTTCTTTCCTTGACATCTGGGTACATGATGAACATTTTGTTTCTCAGTTCAGGGCTAGTGTTAGCATGCCTCATCATCCACAGACTTCAGATCTTTATACTTTGGCTTATCAGAAACTGATCAACTTTTTCTCGACTCTCAGCAGTTAGTGTCACTTTTGCTGGGTGGCTGTCCCTGATAATCCTATTCATTTCTCCCATGTCCATTTTCCCACCTTTGTCTCACCTTTAAAGCTCTCCTACAGTACTTGTCCAACATACATCTCCTTTCTGAGGCACTCCACCAATCCCCTGAGTGTTTTTTTTGGGGGGAGATACACTTTCTCTCCTCACTCCTCATTGGTGCTATTTCGTTTTTGGTCCTATCCCATCATATGTGCTTTTGTTGCTGTTGGGATCTTATTCGGAAGGATGTTGTCTTTTCACAGGTTCATCTACCTTCCCATTATTTTTGTCACTTCCAGATGGCTCCTTTTCTCCATCTGTTTGATTTTGGAGATTTTCCAGAGTCTTTGGATTCATGTGGGGACTCTGCAATTGGACACATTCCTTTTTTCCTGGAGTCTCACCTCCATCGTCCACTGAAGCAAACTATTTAGTCAAACATGTTTCCTCTACCTCATAAGTTCATCTACCTTTATCTTCATTGGATAGCTGTTTCTTCCTCATCAACTGCCTTCCAACTGTCACCATCTTCCAAACTTCCATAAGGCTGTGACTGGGTAAGTTATTTTCTCTCTCTCTCTCTCTATATATATATATATATTCCCTCCAGGGGCATGATCTCATTTAGGATTCGGATCCTTCTCAGTGGTGAGCATTGCCTGTCCAGATGTGCTTCCTATATCTGAAATCTGCACTGTACAGCCATGGCTTATGAGATGGGGTGTTCCACAAAATTGGTAGTAGGTTTCCTCACAATATATATGCTTCATTAATATCCCCTTTCTGGACTGTACTAACCCATGGACTTACATGGGTAAAGAGAAGAGGATAGCTGCATGTTCCTGCTGTCCCTTTGATTGCATTGATCAGGAGCAGACTGCTTTTCAAAATAGGGTTTTCGTGGTCACTCATTGTACTGTCTCCAGTGTTGGCATTCCTCTGGACTCTCCATCATGTTTTATCCCCCTTGTTCTTGTAGTGGAATATATGGAGTCCTTGCCTCACACTCGGGGATGTAGACTTCTAATGGAGCTATCCCATTTAACAAAGTTTGCATGTCATTGACTTTTACAGAGTGGTATTATGTATTTGGTGTCAAAATTATCAACTATTCATGTTACCCTAACTTGCTGATTTGGCAACAGTTCTTGCTAGAAAAGAGTAAATACCATATAGAGTGTACAGGGATACTGAAAATGACTGTAGATATGTATTCCATAGATTCTAGTGACAATACAAATATGATATGCAAACTGTATGATGGACAAAAGTGTTTTTATTTTCTACATGAACATCACCTTGCACACTGACTTGTATTGAGCATTTATTATCTTTGACACAAGTTAACTATATTCATAGATGACACCATGTCCTTATATCAAAACAAAAATAAATTTTATTAAATCTTTGAAAAAACAGAAATACACACAATGTGGTGGGAGGGCACACAAATGTATTATATATCTCAGAGAGTGTGCTAACACACTGTGGAGAAATGCAATGAAAAAAAATCACTGCCGCTATTGCAATAATACATAAACTCAATGTGGCCAATGACTGTAAATTAATTAATAACATGAAACGCTGGGTGTTGAAAGCAGGTAACAGAAAGCACACCTATTGCCACTAATTTGGCTACTATCTCTTCATACAAAGTCACTCTGACCATTGTATATTTCTAGTTAATATACCCATTTATGACTTATCAAAATATATTTCACAAAAACTTATTTTTCATGCAATATACACCTATTTAAGTAAGAGATTCAAAGAAAGCATTTTTCCACCATATTTTTAAAATGAATGTGATAGAGGGTCAATATGTTTTACTAATTTTTATATATTTTAAAAGTCTGAAATACAGTAAATTGTATTAAGCAATTTGTTATTATAAAAGCTCAGTAAATGAAAAAGTCACAATAACATTATAATCTGGGAAAATGTAAATGTTATGGAAGGAGCAAGTTGGTTGAGTTTGTTGTCACATTAATTTTACATAAACACATACTTCCATCTAAAACCCTAATATTAGATTGAAAGTGAATGTGTAGTTAATTCTTTGAAGTTTTGGTAGGAATGTACCTTATTATTATTTTAAATCTGTGAGTCTTTTAGTATTCTGTAGTCTTCTGTGCTAGAAATAAAACCATTTGTTGTATCACCATTAAAAATTTTAAACCTAGAAAGCTTCACTCATTTTGAGCTTTAGGCATCTGCTAATCATTATATAAGTAATTATTTGTGCACTAATCTTTTAAACTTTGATAGGTGTATTGTTTTTTATCAAACTAGAAAAAGTAAAAGGCAGATTCTTTTTTTTTTTAAATTCATTGATTTTTTACTTTCCATAAAAAATTATTGCTTGTTTGGATATGTAAAAGAGACCAACAACATCAGATTCATTTCACAAACTTCTTAGCTGAGTGATGTTTTTGTAATTGTTTTATTATTCAGGTATCGCTGGGCTTTTGTTGGTGATAGCCCTCCTCTTTCCTCAGAAAACCAGTGCAATAATAACATTGATAGGAATGGAACTTCTGATTTCATACCTCATATTGTTAGATTGGCAAGGTTGATTAACACAAGGGTAAGGATAGACGTTTTTATTTTAATTGTTGTGTGCAATGTGTACAACAAAATATAAGTTGTTTCAATAAACATGTTAGTGGTGTTTTAAAGTAAGCTAAATCTCCTTTCTATTTTAAATTAAGATAATCTTTCCTGTTCTTTTGTAGTCAATTAAGCCTCCTTATTGTTTTAAATTAAACTAAATCCCCTTGTTGTTTTAAAGTAAACCAAGTTCTCTGCCATTTAGCAGCCACTAAACTGACAGTTGTTGCTTATCCTCAGCTGAACTGTTTATCTCAGATGTGATATCAACAGTCCTCAGTCTCTTTCTTTGCTTCAAACTCATTGAAGGTTATGATGATTTAGATTATGCTTCATAGAACTTTGTTACTTTGTCGCTCATACCAAATTACTCTAAAGAAAATCAGTACCACAGAGTAGGTACGAAGGAAGGAGTACATTTGGTGCTCTGTTCACAAGAGTTGTTATTGTGCAGATTACCTGTTTTCTCATGGTGAGTGCATTTGGTGCTCTGTTCACAAGAGTTGTTATTGTGCAGATTACCTGTTTTCTCATGGTGAGTACATTTGGTGCTATGTTCACAAGAGTTGTTATTGTGCAGAGTACCTGTTTTCTCATGGTGAGTGCATTTGGTGCTCAGTTCACAAGAGTTGTTATTGTGCAGAGTACCTGTTTTCTCATGGTGAGTGCATTTGTCTGTGCTCTTGCATTAGTAAGTTTAATCTTTCGTAGTTTAGGAAATGGCATTTTCTGAGAGTAAAAGGACTTATTATGACCAAGAGGAAGAGTTGTACACTCTCTGAGAGACTTGTCGAGTCTAGAAGTCCTTTCCCAGACCTTGGACTTTGCTGATCTTGCAAAGGGCTTAAAAGAAACAACTAGCTGAAAATATTAAACTAACAATAAGGATATTTTTAAAGTATTGTTGCAACGTTGTTCTTTTTCTGCATGTTCTTTTAGATTATCTGGTTAAAATAATTCAATGTCCAGTCCACATAAATATAACAACATAGTTTTATTTCCTCCTTAACATTTCTTTACAAATACTAGAATAGAGGAAGGGACAGGAGAATCAGTGAGACCCAAGAATCTCGTGAGATGCACCTCTGGTCACACAAGGACCAAAGAATAAGGTACATGCGTGCATGACCGAAAGGGAAAAACTTTATAACTTGTTGTAGGCGTATGTTTATAGCCATGCTAACTGCTCTGTATTACTGTAAAAATCAACTTACTTGCACAAAATAACTCAATATGCACAATAGTTAACACAGGTCCAAAAATGTAAACACAATGACTGATTCACACTACCAGCTAGAAAACAACTATCTTCTTTCTGCTTTACTGCAAGTTTACCTAGCCAGTTGACCTGTATTTATAACACAGGCCTGCAATGGTTTTACTGTCTTGAAATTTTTACATGTTCTACAGTAATTCCTGTATGCTGAATCTGAAAATTATATCCATTTTTCTCCATCAGGTACAGATTTTTCACGAACTTCATATTTACTTTCACATAAGTGAATCATTTTCATTGAAATCAGGTCACATTTTGTTATGCTCAAAATGTTGACAACCACAGGCTATAGATTTCTCTAGACCAATTGTAATGTGAGAGTCTTATCAATTGTTCTAGAACCCATAAAAAACACACTGCTTGTATATGAACAGTTAACAGGCCGCATGACATGTATTTTCTGGATAGTATTTGTTTGTATGTGCTCTTTGTCATAATTTTTTTCTTTTCAATTATTTATTTGTCATTATGGCAACAAGAGGTTGTGTAAATGACCCAAACATATGCAGTTATATTTATGATAAATTTGTTGTAAAGAAACAAAGGCAAAACATTACAGAATTCATCAAAAAAGCATTGAGACAAAGAAAGTCCTATTACCTCCACTTCACATAAAACTGGGCTTGATGAAGGAGTTTGTACAGGCCGTAGACAAAGATGGCGACTGTTTCAAGTATCTATGTGGTCAACTCCCAGCTCTTTCAGAAGCAAAACTTAAAGAAGGGATTTTTATTGGGCCTTAGATTAGGAAATTGAATTTGAAAGAACAATGAGGAAAGTTGAAAAAGAAGCGTGGATTGCCTTTAAAGATGTTATTGACAAATATTTAGGACACAAAATGGACTCAAATTATGGAAGTATTGTCAATAACATGCTCGATAAATTCAAAGAGTTGGGTTGTAATATGAGCTTTAAAGTTCATTTCTTACACTCACATATTGACTATTCCCTGAAAATCTTGGTGCTGTCAGCAAAGAACAAAGGAAAGGTTTCATCAAGACATCAGAGAAATAGATAGAAGGTATCAGGGAATGTGGAACATCAGCATGATGGCTGATTACTGCTGGTCATTGAAACTAGTTGCTCTAGACGCAATACATAAAAGAAAGACCACAACATGTAGTTTTGACATCAGTGTTCTTCCCTTTTCTTCTAGTTTGTTTATATTTTTGTTAACAAACATAATGATAAAATAATGTTCATTGTGGTAAACGAAATAATAATTTAATTTAAGTAAGAGTTTTTTTTCTTCCCAATTTGTAAAAAATCCTTACATGATAGAAAAAAATGAATATTATTTTTGAAATATGAATAGCTGAATTATAGAAAATCCATTATTAAAACAAAAACAACTTTTATTAAGTTTAAGTTCGCAGGTCTGTGTAATCTAATCCTTGTTAGAGATATTTTGCATAGCTTTTTTTCATTAATTTTCTCAAATATTCTAGGCCTTACTAGATTTAACCTGATGCTCTCTCTATCAGACATCTAAATTACAACAAAAAATATAGCTTATAAAAGTATCTTAAAGGTAAGTAGAATATTAAAATGAAAAGTTAGTCATTAAAGGATGCTAATCGAAAGATTTTTGTTTAAGATGGTGAGATTGCCGAGCTTTTGAATATTTTCTTCTTTCCCTACACCAAGCATCCTATGGACAATATTAGAATTGACCTGGTTCATGTAAATATTAATCCTTTGATAGTTGATAAGTAGAAAAATCAATAACTTAAACTAAATAAAGCACTAAGACCAGACAAGGTTTTCCCCCAGAATTTTGAAGGAGGTAATAGATCACGTATTTGAGTTTTTAGTGGGTAAAGAGAGTGACAGAGAATTGAAGAGCTGCGTATGTTACTCAAAATTTTAAAGGGGTGGAAAGAATTATGGGACAGTTAGTCCTACTTCTACAATGGAAAAAATTTTAGAAAGTCTGATAAAAAGATGCTTTTACAAAATTATTATGTGAAATATGATATCATAAAAGAAAGATTGAGGAAGCATCAAAGGGAAATTGTGCTTTTCTAACCTTTTATCTTTTTCTAGGATAATATTGTTATACAAATGATGGAAAGGGTGTGAAAATTTTTGCTTAGGTTTCAAAAATGTTTGGTAAGGTGCCACATAAAAGATAAACTAAGAAAATCTCATTGGTACAGGTTATTTAATTGGATTGTAGGATAGTTGTATGGGAGAAAATAAAAGGTTGTTATTAGTGCAGTATGGTCAAACTGGACCCTTGTTACTAGTGTAGTACCTGAGGGGTCTTTGTTTTTTTTATTTACTTTAATTATATTAATAGGGGCATAAATAGTAAATTACTTTGCTGGGGACATTAAACTCTTGGGCGTTTCTGGTTGTTTGAAGACTTGGATCAATTGCTCAAACCATGGAAGTAGTGTTCTGTTGCTAGTAGTCTCACTGTGTACAATTTTGATCCCCTTATCTAAGAAATGATATTGACACGTTGTTGCTAAGGGTTCAAAAGAATGGTTACTAGGATTATAATAATGATGGGGGTATTATCTTTAACTTATTTTCTCTTGAAAAAGGAAGGGTAAGAGGTAACCTTATTGAAGCTTACAAGATCCTCTGGGTGTTAAATGACTTTCCCACAAAGTAGACAGTTAGACCACACTAATCGGGAGATGAATAAACACTGTAATATAGAATGTGTGTCTTCCATATCTCTAACCAAGGTCTTCACGAAAAAAAGAACCAAAGCTGAATGGTGTACAAAAATAATAATGTTTATTGACAAAAAGCAATCACAATACAAAAAGGGCAAGTATTTTGTGGTGGGTGTCAAACTGATAAGAAAGATGGTGGAACCTCTCTTCAAGTATTTTGCCAGTTTGCTTCTCCCTGTAGTACATTTATAACTCTTAACTTTATAAGAAAATAAATTCTAGTGAATATTAATATAAAGCTAAAGTTACATTACCATTTAAAAAAATCAAAAATCAGGATTAGACCAAAATCCCAAATCAAATGTTATTTTTATGTTCAAACTCAAACTATCATTTAAATCCAAATGCTTATTCCTTTCTGTAAAGTTTAAGTTAGCTACACTCTTCTCAATGGTTAAACTAAAAAAAAAAACAAAGTTGATCTCTAAAGTTTAAGGTATGACAGCTTTTGACTGTTATCCAATTCTCTGACAGAAAAGAGGCTTTCTATTTCTGAACATCACATTTCTGTCTTCCCTCCAAAAAAAGTTGTTTAATTGCTAGTTACAAAAACAAGGAGTTGAAGCGTTGAGCAAGTCTATGCATCCAAACTGAAAACTCTGAAAAACAGTAGTTTCAAAACATTAACATCTCGGTTGAGAGGCTAGCAAACACATGGTACCATCTTGTACCACAATGAGATAAAGATATCTGATTTCTTTGTGCGATATTCTGAAGATAAAAGGATACAAGTTTAATATTTGGAAAAGACAATTATATGTTTTAACAGGGTGATTGGGATGTGGAAGGAGTTGCTGTTGGAAGTAGTGGAGACCAGTATGAAGGGAATCAATGATTTTCTGAAAAGGGTAGGCTTAAATTTTCACCTTCTCAAGGGAGTGTGTAAAAGGTCAACCTTGAAGGATCAAATGGTCTCTTGTTGTTTGTAATGTTATACTTATTTAATTTTTTTAATCTTTTCATGTTATCTTTCATTCAGTGTTCAAAATTACTGCTTATCCACTCCACTGAGAGGAATGAAAATTTTGTCAGAGGAGTCATTTTTATAAAGTTGTTTTACCATACAGCAAAGTACTTGAATATAAATGGTTCAAAAGTGTCCAATTGTCAGTCATTTGTAAAGATCTTAAAGGTATATATTACACTGTAAATATGTAGTTTGTTATTTTACTGTGCAAACCAAAGTTTGATGTTTTTATTAAAGTGTACAGTTATAGGAAGTTTATATTTTGACAAGTCATGTTGCTCATTTATACAATGGTATTTTAAAAGATATAATCATAATGGATTTGACAATTAGTTTTAAATTGTGACCACGTTTTATTGTAGATTATGAATATATATATATTATGATGGTATAAAAGTCTGGCATTCAGTACTTCTAGTAAAGCCAAATAAAAACAAACCATCAATAAATATTTCTTTTTTTATTCTTTATAGCATTATATTCCCAGAGGGAGGACTTTGCAGTGGCTCATTATCTTTTTATATATTTCAATATGTTTGTTTGAAATTAATGGAGGAGTGAATATTTCTTCATAACAATGCTAATTCAGAGCAAATCTTCCATGTAGGGGAGTGCCCAAAATCCTCAGGTTCAGAAACTGCCCCCATGTATAACAGCCATGTTCCCAATTTTCACATTTATACATTGTACTGTGTCTCAGCAATGAAACTGCAAAGTGACCAAAAGACTTAATATGCCATAATTTGGGCATGGTACACTTTCCAGTTTTATTCCACCCTAGTAACATTAAATTGTGAAATACTAATGCTTTATTATTTGGTAAAATATTTTAAGGAACACAGATATTTTTATCTAGTTTAATTAGTAATATTTTAAAGATATTTCAATGAAATTAGTAGTTGGTTGTATTAGCATATCAAGAGAAAATATGTTGAAAACAGTCACAGTCTGCATTTAGTTTGTACTGCAAGAAAGCTATGATGGTGTATAGATTGAGATGCCTTTTGGCCTGTGTGTGTGAATATTTTTCAGCATAGAAAAGTCCTTTACTGTCAGCATTACCATGAAGCAAACAGAGTAGGATACCCATTACTTTATCAGTTATAGAAACCCTGTAATGTTGATGGTTCTTTGATGTCATGATCTTCAAGAAGTTTTTAGGTCTTAATGTTCAAGATCTTTTAACTTTCACTGATGTAGCACCGTTTTTATATGTTCATTCACATCATAGATGCCTGATGCTATAACTTTGATGTCATGATCTTCAAGAAGTTTTTAGGTCTTAATGTTCAGGATCTTTTAACTTTCACTGATGTAGCACCATTTTTATATGTTCATTCACATCATAGATGCCTGATGCTATAACTTTAATGTCACAATTGCATACTGTTCATTTAGCATAGTTTTCTCCCATAGTGGACTTGGCAATTGCCCTGTGAAACTTGTTTTCCAACAAACTTCTATACTTTCCCAGGACTTCTTACAAGGGAGTCACCATCTTGGAAGCAGGAAGTTGTGATGTTGATACAATTGCTGATGCACAATGATACAACAGTTTATCACAGGAAGGAACCAAAGAAGACCACAAATTAGGATAGTGATATAACGATATTTTATTTCAACAAAAAAAAAAAAAATTCATGAATGACAGTGAATCCATATTAAACAGTAATATAGTCATAGGCTTTCTAAACTAATAAAAAAGTGTAGCACTTGACAGGTATGGAGTGCCAATGAATCCTTTTGCCAAATACCAGGGCTCTTCAGACCAGCCAAGATACGACAGACACAGCAATAGTTGAGATACTATTTATATTAGCATATTGCTTAACGACAACTGCTACGGTGGAACTGGATTAAGTTTGTGAGGTGGTAAGAGTAAATCCCACCTACAACTTTTAAGATGTTTTTATCAGTTCCACTAACTTCCTGTCAACTGTATCTGTATGTAATACAAGTAACACAAGAAAAGGAATTTGAATATACAGGATGATGTATTTCTGGTGGTATAAGTAGATAAATGGACATGTCTGAACCAAACATTGTTGGGATGTTCTAATACAAAGAGAGTTACAAATAAATGACACTATAATTCTTGTATATGCCATCACAAACCTTAATGTGTGAGTGATTGTTCTTTATTTTTCAGGTGAAAGGCTATGAACATAAAACTTATGTTCCTGGATGCCTCCTGCTAAAGATGAACACCATCAACTCCTTAAACCAGCTCCAACCATTCTTCAATGCTCTTGCTGATGTACATGTTAACCAAGCAAAGCAACCACCTGTTAAACAACAAAACTTTGCTACAGATCAGGAGTTTCCTACCATTAGCATAACCAAGTCAAGATCAGCACCAGACCTCAGTGAAACGAACCAATTAGGTAATCTTCTAGAGGACTGTAAGCCACTGACTATTGTCCAACAAATTGAATGTGTGATGGAACGTGATTTTTTAGAGCCACGGATGTCTTCATGATAACATCCTTCACTATTTATAGTGTTGGTAGTTATTCAAGACGAAACAAAAAAACCCTGATCTGCACTGACCAGCATGGTTTATTTTCATAAGGAAAAATTGTTTATATTTGTAACTTATAAAAATGTCTTAGCCAAACAAAAACAGCATATAGAAAGAAAATGTTATTAACTTTTGTTAAGGTAATGAGAAAATGTAATTCAATCTCAGGAAACATTTCTTTACACAGATAATGTTACTAATGAGACCATAAGACATACATTACACTACCATTGTTGACTAAAAATTAAATTCTGTATATATGCATATATCTATATTTGAATTTAATGAATATGGTGTACAATTTTAACTTTCATGTTGTTTACTATATTTAATCTGATGAACAGTGTGTGTGACACAATTTCTTCAACAGTCAGAGAAAATATAATGGTAAAAAAATCACAGTTTGGATGAACTATCATTGAAAACATTCAGATAGTACATGTAGGAGTGTAGTTTGTTTTCAGGAGTTTTTTGTGTAATTTGAAAGTTAGTTGTAAATTAATTAAAAGCTGCTGATACAGGATAAATGATATATTGAAAATGTTATTCATGTCACCAGGTGTAAAAATACTTTTTATCTTTAGAACTACTTGTGAAAATAACACAATTTCTTGATGCACACATCCTCTTTCCTGTTACTTGGGTCTATAGAAACGTTTTGGCACAGTCACCTTTGTAGGTTTCATGCAGTTTGAATGTTATAACTTTTTTTTACTGCTCTATTACAAACAACCAAACCCCATAAACCTAATTGGTGAATTTATTTGTTAGAAGGGCAGAATGATTAAATGTGAGACCAGCTGAAATTCTATAAAACAAATCAGTACTATTTAGTCCATGGTCAGTAAAAGAAAGGATGATGTTTTAAAAGGTAAAACATTTCAAAGGAGATTTATCAAATGTATACAATTGCATTGACAAAGCTTTTTACTGTGTACATGTGAGGAAAGAGAGAGTTTTTGAAAGTATGAGCTTATGAAGGGAAATGCAGGTGTTATAGAAGCAGTGTATCAATTGTAGATGAAGGGAAATGCAGGTGTTATAGAAGCAGTGTATCAATTGTAGATGAAGGGAAATGCAGGTGTTATAGAAGCAGTGTATGGTTGTAGAGAGAAAAAAATTTGCATAGTTTTTAACTTAAAGGTGTCTATGCAAACCACTCAGCATTCATTGATATCTCACCAAATGTTACAATAGGCTTCTAATGAAGCCTAGATTGTATAACAGAAATATATATTAATGCTTTTCAAGTTGATGCTTAGCTTATTATTTGTTTTCATTTTTAGTCTGTATATCCAATTTCATTTTATTTATATATTAAAAGCAAAGGTACAACATTTTGAAATTACTGTCAAGTGATATATAGGTGAAGGATGAAAATGTCAAACATAAACTGAATTGAATCTGTATTAAATGTTTTAGCTGAAAATGACTAAAAAGTATATCTGTCAGGTATTGTCCATCATTATCATAAAAAATGAGTCCAGGTTTTTTTTAAATAGATGAATATCATTGAGTAATTTGTCTTTCCTGGACGCTTCTCAGTAAGTCTTGGGGCTCATACTGCTAAAAACTGGGTTTCAATACTCGTGGTGGGCAAAGCAAAGATTGCCCATCATATAGCTTTATGTTTAATAACAAACTTTCCTGGATTAAGCATTCTTTCTCACCAAACCTATAAAAAAATACTTACATTCCTCTCCTTTCTCTCAACCTGTTGTTTAAGGCTTAATGCTAGTTTTTATGCATTCATTTAGAAAATTTCAAAATGGAAAATAATAATTTATAATTCAGTTTTTGAAATGTTTAAAAACTTAAAATGCCTTCAGTCTTCAAAAAGAAATACCAAAACTACAAAATTTTTATGAAGTATCAAAATAAAGTTTTAATGGAGAAATTATTGAAATGCAAAATCTAAAATTAAACTTGTAGAATAAAGTTCCTCTGATGTTGGTCTTGTGATTTAAAATAGAAAAACAAATTTATTTCCGTAAAAGTAACATTTCAGGTAAGTGCTCATCAGGCTAATAGAACTAACTACACAGAGCTTGTACAAAAACTTGTAGAATGAAGTTGAATAAAGTTCCTCTGATGTTGGTCTTGTGATTTAAAATAGAAAAACAAATTTATTTCCATAAAAGTAACATTTCAGGTAAGTACTCATCAGGCTAATAGAACTAACTACACAGAGCTAGAATCAGATTGTATGATAAAAACATTAAACTTCAAATCTTCCTATGTATTAAGCATGTGCAAGTCCAACAAATGCCACATTTTTAAACACAAACTAACTTTTTGTTTAATGGCCTCATCTGAATTACAGCCGATATATAAAAACTTGTACCACACATATATTAATGTCTCGCCAAATACGATCACAAGGTTGTAACCTAATCTTATGAAAAGTCTAAGTCTATTAACAAAAATATATGTATACAAATATCTGCACTGAATTTTAAAGATTTCCAAATTATTTAAATAGCAGTAATCCATATCAAGAAAGTGATAATTACCTAAAATATATGGTAAAAGTAAGAATGTTGAATGGTAACTTAATTATATGATAGAAGTGAAGGGTATCTTAAATATATAATAAAAGTAAGAATGCTGATGGGTAACAAATATGTATGATAAAAGTAAGAATGCTGAATGGTAACAAATATGAATGCTGAATGGTAACAAATATGTATGATAAAAGTAAGAATGCTGAATGGTAACAAATATGTATGATAAAAGTAAGAATGCTGAATGGTAACAAATATGTATGATAAAAGTAAGAATGCTGATGGTAACAAATATGTATGATAAAAGTAAGAATGCTGATGGGTAACAAGTATGTATGATAAAAGTAAGAATGCTGATAGGTAACAAGTATGTATGATAAAAGTAAGAATGCTGATGGGTAACAAATATGTATGATAAAAGTAAGAATGCTGAATGGTAACAAATATGTATGATAAAAGTAAGAATGCTGATGGGTCACAAATATGTATGATAAAAATAAGAATGCTGATGGGTAACAAATATGTATTATAAAAGTAAGAATGCTGAATGGCAACAAATATATACAGGGTTCATACTGCCAATGCCAAAAAGAATTCCAAGACTTTTCCAGTACCTCAAATACAAATTTCCAGGTGTGTTCTAATATGTAAGGAATCTAACATACATTTTCAGTAACACATTTTAATGATTATGTAAGATATAATACAATTAAGGAAATGTGTAAATGATCAAAAAATTCCACTTTTATTATAAAAACATAGCACTGATAAGTGTTCTTTAGCTTTCAGCTATTAATGATAGATATACAACTCATAATTTTGTGCACAATTATTTGTTCCATAGCTCTTTCAGTTTCAAGTCCACTTCTTAGAGCTCTGCTAATTCCTGACTTTTAGATTTTGTTGTCTTCTTCAGACTATTTGATTGTGTTATTAGAGTAAACTTTCTGCTTGATTTGCTGGTTCATCTGCTTTTTGTTCAAGTTCTTTATCAGTCAGTAGTCTTGCTTGCTTTTTCTTCAACTCATCAATGTTATCCAAAAGAATTTGCCTTTTCATGCTTTGCTTTTCACATAACTTCTCCTTTATACTTTGCTTTTGCAGATGAAGCTGCTACTATCATATTTGGGATTATAGGAATGTTCAGAATTCCCCCAGTTTTATCAATATGGTTCTTTATAATTCTTTGATCCACAAATGATTATTCTCACAGGTTTTCTCTTTTCAATGCTTTGTTCACTGAAAATCCCCGCTTGATGACCATGGGATAGAACCGAAGCAAGTCTCACAATATGTCAAACCTTGGCATATTACATTTTGCCAGGTGCAGAGAACAATCCACAGAAGAAAGTGTCCAAACTCGTGTTTCCAGAATTGAAGTCCATAAAAACAGCATTCTCCTTAGGAACCTTATCGGAAAGAAGCCGCCTGAATGCAACCATGTTATGGTCACACAAGATTATTAATACTTGCTTCATTTGAGACACACATAGATCAGGATCATTTGATTTGGATTCAAACACTGTAGATTCCTCACCACAGAATACTTGATTGTTGCCTTCAGCTATAGTTTCTGTACTATTGCTTATGTAAATTCTTTGAAATGCGATCCTAAATTCCATTGCCTGCAAAGATGATACTTAAGCAGTTTTCAGTGCCTGTTCTGCTTCAATGCTCACATCCATTTTATTGTGGGCCACTTGAAGTTCTTTTTTTCTAAACATCAAGGGCAATGAGTTTCTTTCATGTCTTACTTGCTTTCTCAGTTTATTCATGTTTGATGAATATTTCCAGCATTTCTGCCATGTAGTTAGCTAGAAAAGGTAGCATGGGCCTGTCTGTCTGATCTATAGTGAGGAAGGGATTTATCATCTTCGCAACCCTTTTGAAGAAGACTATTATCCCACAGTAAATTAATGGATCATCACATGACTTCTTAACCACATCAAAGGATCTTGTCCCTGTGTTTGTCAGGTTCTTCTGAACAACTACTTGTAAATACAACTTAATATTTGGCCAGACCTCGAGTGCTCTCTCTCTGACCACCATCAAATTTTCTAGACATCTGTGCCGACAAAACGTCTTAGGACGTCAACTGGTGTATCTTTAAATAACCAGTAAAGGTTGCTGAGGGTGTGATACATTCCACTATAATGTAGCTACTCCATCTTTGAAAGCTCCATGTATGTTGTGTAAGCCACAACTTCCAATGTCCAACAATTTTGTGTGATGATCTTTTTCCAACTGTGATTGGAAATTCCAGTTTATAGCTGGACCATCCATGGACAACTGGAAAAGAGAAGATATATTTCTCTTTAGCTGCTCTATTCCATGGTTAAAAAAAGATACCATATCATTTGCTGTGGCATGTCCAAAAAACTCAGAAGTCAGATAACGTGCAACTACTTTGTCATTATCCTACATCCTCATATGCACATCAAGTTGTTTTCTCTTTGTAACTTTGTTTAGTGACTCGTAACATAAAGTCTCTACTTTTCTTCATTGACATTTGCTCTATTAATAAACTTCTGAAATAGGGAGCCAATCTAAACTGTATCGTGTTGGAACACTTCCTACATGACAATGCAAAGGTTTGAGCAGTGGTACTGTCTGGAAACATAGACTTAAACAGGTTTGGTTGGACCACTGCATGAATAGTTTGATGCCACAATATTTCAGCTTGCAGGACATCATTCCCTCCAATATATGAGGAAACTGAGGTTCTTCTAGTTGCTGTTGAATTCTTACCAGTCTCATCCTCCACAATCCCTATGGTCTGTGTATAAAGAACCATTCAAATTATGCATAGCACAGTACTATTCATGATTATAAAATATATGCATTTATTTATGTTGTATTAATTTTTTGATAAAATTGTCATAAACTAGATCAGCAAAAACAATTAAAATTGGACTATATACTTATACTTATAGTTACTTGGCTATTTTGAATAAACAAAATATATACAATGAATTTGATAAACAATTTATTTGTTTATAAAATTTCTTTTATTTATTTATGTAGTTAGCTTTTCAACATTTCCATGTGTTTCCTTTTGCATGACTGCCGGCTCTCCCATGTTTGACACATTGAATGATTTCATGCACACCTTACAAAATGCGTTTGACTTTGAGTCTTTGTTAGGTCCCGGCCAATCTGGCTTGTCTATGCATAAATCATTAAAAACACTTTCTGCACAACATCACAATTTTAAGTGTGTGCTCAAGCGTATGACCAAGGACGTGCATGAAAGATCAATGTGAGCACAGCACCATTTGCAAGGGTTCTAGTATGCATGCACACCTGCAGTTGAGTTTGACTGGGCACTTGGAATATCTATAGGCCCCTACTGTGCGTAGTAGGCCTACTGGCTAGATTATGAATGAATTTGTAACTAGTGTACCATTTTCACTTTGTAGCTGTGAAAAAAACCAAATAAATATTCTTTGTTACACATCTATACATACACGTGTCCAGGGTATGTATGAACCCTGTATATATATGATAAAATTAAGAATGCTGAAGGGTAACTTAAATATATTAAAAAAGTAAAACTGCTGAAGGATAACTTAAATATATGTTAAAAAAAGTAAGAATACTGAAAGGTAACTGAACTATGTGATAAAAGTAAAACTGCTGAATGATACAAATATATATGATAAAGTAAGAATGCTGAAAGATAACAACTATATGATAAAAGTAAAACTGCTGAATGATACAAATATATATATGATAAAGTAAGAATGCTAGAAAGACAACTATATGATAAAAGTAAAACTGCTGAATGATACAAATATATATATGATAAAGTAAGAATGCTGAAAGATAACAACTATATGATAAAAGTAAAACTGCTGAATGATAGAAATATATATGATAAAGTAAGAATGCTGAAAGATAACAACTGTATGATAAAAGTAAAACTGCTGAATGATACAAATATATATGATAAAGTAAGAATGCTGTTTATGTAAATTAATGTTATTTTTAAATATGTTCTACAAAGAGTAAGTTAATTAAAACATTGAGTTTATGTAGTTTAGACCTCTTCCCAGGTTGTGGAGGAGAAACAAAACATGGCAAGACTTAATTGGATCTTTGTATTAAATATGTGTTTTGGCTAAGAAAATACTATCTTTAATGTAGTCATTAAATAGAGCTTGTTTCATATAACTTATCCTTGCAACATTGGGATGAAGCCTGATCTGTGTATTAGTGTGTGAATATATATATATATTAAGAATAGGTAACACCCAAATAATATTGGCTTTGGTATTTTTAGTGTAGTTTCTTCTGTTTACAAATACTATTATCCTGGAGATTGACATTTTTCCTTTACATATCCTTGAATAAATTATCATACTAATATTTTACTGTTAAGTAACATTTCATAGCCGAGGTCATTTTTTATTATTTTAGTAGAATACATGTAAATGTTTTAAATGCATATCTTACAATTCCATTAATAAAGTTTGAGGGCAGTAACATTCCATTTACCTTTGTTTCATGACAACAACAGATGGTTGATTGTAATACCCTTAATAAAATTTTGTTTACTAATTCCACACATCGTGTATTTTTCACATATTTTACGAAGCTGGTTAAAAACTTTGTGTGTATTGCCCAGTTAAAATGTATATTCACAGTGACAAAGCAAGTTTATTTCTAGCACTTAAGTGTTGATAAGATTTAGTTATACAAAACTGTGACAGTTTGAGCGGTATCTTTAGTGTGGATTTAAACAGTCACTGATGTTATGATTTTATTAAGAAGTTTATCAAGAAAAAAACATTGTTCTATACAAGAAGTTAAAGAAATATCACCTGTTAATGCAATAAAATAAATGGTTGATATATATTTAATATTTTTATCTTTAATTGGGTGTGAGGTTCTTTGAGTTATCATGGCTATTAACTCCTTTTTTAAAACATAGATAAGTAGACAAGTATTTTTTGTATATTTTAAGAGCTGATTCCTATATTTCATTCAAATAAATAAAAATCTTAAAACATATTCAAGTTTTTTTATCAACCCACCAACTTCATTGCAATAACATATATACTTTCACAGCTTTTCTATACTTAATGTTTCATTCAGTGGTTTTCCTTACTCAGTTTTGTTTACTAATTAAAGATTGTTATTAAAGTACTTGCTATTGTTACCACATTCACTCAATACTATCATTGGTTTACAAATCTGGCAGCTATTCTGATCTTGTTACCACATTATTGTCATGAGTTTAAATACCTACTAGAACGAATGTGGTAACAATAGCAAGTACTTTAATAACAATCTTTAATTAGTAAACCAGAAGAGTTAGTAGGTATTTAAACTCATGACAATAATGTGGTAACAAGATCAGAATAGCTGCCAGATTTGTAAACCAATGATAGTATTGCTCTTCTTGAGTCATTCTAGTCTTTCACTTCTATTTTTGAATTTCTTTAGTAATTTCCTATATTTTTTGTAAACATCAGTTTATTAAATCATTTCTGATGTTTTGTTTTTATAAAAACAACTTACAAATTTAAGTATGTTTTGTAATGTGATATCAAAAGTATTTCAAAAATATAAAAAATTTAATGCAAATATAAAATTTTAATACTAAAACTGTGAGAATAGAAACATATTCTGCAGTATTTACTATTCATAAAGAAATGATCTTCCAAACATATGCTGTTCTTTTTTTTTACAATACAGTGATTTTTGAAAAATACAATCATTATGTAGTATAATGGGAAGTGCTTAATTACATGTCTGTTTTTAGTAAAACCAACCTTCTTCAATGAAAGTAAAATTACATTTGTTTCATCCTGTATAAAAGTCTTGATTGTTGAAATACTAAAAAAGATTCATATTTGGCAGAATACTTTTTCACAAGTCTAATTCATTTATTTCATTTGCTTCTGTACAACAATAAAAACAATCCATTAGTGTAACAGATTTGACAAGCAATAAATATGTAACAATTTGACTTTTGTCTCAAATTGTGAATATAACCAAGAAATCACACCTGAATTATTTAAGCATTTTCTCGTAAACCCTGATGCCCTGCGTACACCATCTTTCAGAAATCTAACGAACTCGTTCTTCAAAACTAAATATATCCATGATACTCTTAAATGCATTGTGAATCAGGCTTCCAGTATAACTAAATAATGTTTCATATATTTTCATCCAAATAAACTATAAACCAGTAACAGCTGCATTCTTTTAAGCATAAATTATAAAGTTATTCTTAAAGTACTTTTCAAACCAAAGCAGGATAAACAACTTAATCTTTCATTATAACACATATTAATTATGACTACCTAATATCTGAAATAGTACAATTACCCTTTTTCTCTGTACTGTAAATAATTTTTTTTTTCATAATACACACATTAAATTTGTTTGTCAAAAAAACTAAAGGATAACAATTACATAGGGGTTATGGAAAATCTTAATAAGGGTGTTTTTTTTGGGGGGGGGAGAGATTTCTAGTGTTTTAGTTTTTCAAATATATTTTGTCAAGGTTGTCTATTTACAAAGTAACACCATTAATAGAATTTTCTGTTGCATCTTTAATCTACAGAGAAAGAGGTTCAAGAATAAATTTTATGATTTAATTTTTCGTCTTGTATTAAAGAGATCTTTGCTAAACATATATTGGGTATTTTTCTCAATGCAAATAAATTTATAAGGAAACTTACTATATTTACAAATCTAATAAAGATTTTTTCTTCCCACATATTCTATACTGGGCAAACAGATGTCTTAAAGTGGCTTGCACACAAGGATCTCTCTCTCCAATTTTTACTTAGAAGGTTACAATAACTCTGATATGGTGAGATTTGTAAGCCTGCTATTTAGACTAGAAGCTTACACAACATTCTTATACACCAATATTAGAACCAATTTTATGTTTTAGTACTGAATTGTATACATTCTAAAACATAGTCCATACAATCTAAAATATGTCAGAACAAGTAGTTACATAAAGAAAGTTATATGCACAACTATAAAATGTAAACTCCAGAACCACAAGTACACATTAGTTCTTAAACACATACTTCCAAGTTCTTTCAAACCCCTGCGAACTCACAGTTTTTCTAATGCAAAAAATATTACAGCACACACATTCATAATATTTGAATCTTTTAGAACACACTATTATTCTAAAGATGTTTTCAACAAAACAATGTTCTGATAGATACATTTTCCAAACCTAGTAATATTCAATGACATACTATTAGCTCAAAATTCCAGATATGTCTTCCAAATAACAATGTTTCACTTGTTACTTCCAGTTTATATTATCAAACATCGTCTCATGTTTTACTACACAACACTAGTTTTCACCCTATGATACAAGTTTCATTTTGGAAATTTTCCATTAAGAAGCCTCAAAACACTTAAGAATGTGTTCTGAGATAAGAAGTAGGAGTATTCTATTACGTTTTGAACCTTGAAATGATTACATTCAATTTTGTTTCCATAGTAATATTATTAGTATAAACACACATTGGGGTGTTCAAATTTACAATTAGCTTCTTAAGTTGTAAAATATATAACATGCACATACCCCTTGCAATTTGGATAGTTTAACTCACAACAACAAAGAATCAAACCACCTTGAATTTTAACTATAAGACAGAATCAACCTTCTAGCCACACATTAACATGGAATCAAACCACCTTAAATTTTAATTTAAAACAGAATCAGTCTTCTTGTCACACATTAACATTGAATCAAACCACCTTAAATTTTAATTTAAAACAGAATCAGCCTTCTTGTCACACATTAACATGGAATCAAACCACCTTAAATTTTAATTTAAAACAGAATCAGTCTTCTAGTCACACATTAACATGGAATCAAACCACCTTAAATTTTAATTTAAAACAGAATCAGTCTTCTAGTCACACATTAACATGGAATCAAACCACCTTAAATTTTAACTATAAGACAGAATCAGCCTTCTTGTCACACATTAACATGGAATCAAACCACCTTAAATTTTAATTTAAAACAGAATCAGTCTTCTAGTCACACATTAACATGGAATCAAACCACCTTGAATTTTAACTATAAGACAGAATCAGCCTTCTAGTCACACATTAACATGGAATCAAACCACCTTAAATTTTAACTATAAAACAGAATCAGCCTTCTTGTCACACATTAACATTGAATCAAACCACCTTAAATTTTAATTTAAAACAGAATCAGCCTTCTTGTCACACATTAACATGGAATCAAACCACCTTAAATTTTAACTATAAAACAGAATCAGCCTTCTTGTCACACATTAACATGGAATCAAACCACCTTAAATGAAACTGAGTTACATAACAATAGGTTAGTATGTTTTACGTAAAAATGTTTTTTAATTTTTACTGTCATAATCAAAGGACTAATAATCTTAGTCTCCTTAGTGCACAGGGCTTTTGAAAAATAAAACTCACTAAAAACGAGTCTACAATTTCAATAAGAATGAAGCGTCATTATTTAAGCACTTTTAAAAAGGCACAAAAACGACTAATCAAAGACCACAGGTTCATAAATTTTACACTTAAGCTACTAAATTGTTCAACATTACTAACCCTGGTGAAGTTCATTTTCATTGGACTTTTTATTTTCTTACATATCATAGTAAAATCTTAAAAAGTATTTAGCAAAAACAAAAAATTATTTGCTCATTTTTCACCAACATAATTTTGGTTTTATCATCTCTGGTAAGTGACTCTAGAGTTGGTAGACTTTTTTTTCCCCCACCAACGTAACCTTTAAGTAAAATCAACAATATTTCTTGAACTGGTAGAAAATCTACACACAATTTTTCTTTAGTTTCTATGCAAAGTATTTGCTTTTTAAACCCATGCTTTTAAGTTGATAAACTGGTTTGTTAGCTTTAATTTGGTACGGCCATAATCACTTGGTGTCGAAAGTTAATTGTAATAAAACTTTCTAGTTGAGATGTTATTGCCCTGTTAAATTTACTTAGAAATTCTGTATTTATATTTTAATTAACTTCTGCAAGATCTTTCTTGTATAATTTCTGAGCCACCAACTTGAAAGTTAAATCTTTTTTAAATAACTTTAAACTTAGATACAAGACCTTTGTGATATAGCTATTTAAAAATGCAAACTATACAAGATAAAATCCATTTCCTTAGTATTTCCTACAATTGTCAATACATACAAATAATAATTGAAAGAATATTTTTTTTTAGTTTTTACAGTCTTAAAATTGTATATTTTAGATATCTGTAATTAGAATAAGGAGAGAGAATTCATATTTCTACAGAAGACTGAAATGGTTTAATTATATACAGATTTAACCAATTCCTTGTAAAGTCTGACTTGAATGCAATAGATATTACAGTGTTTAAACATAAGTACTACATTTATCTAAAAACAAGAAGGTTAAACACAAAAAATTGAAGTTAGAAGCAAAATGTTTCAGATATAAATGTGGATGTTACTGAAGTATTTTTAGAAAGAAAACATTTAAAAAACTCATTTCACACAGTTATAGACATATGTTTACCATAAACATATATACGAGAATATATTTTTTTATTCACAATAATTTCTCACTAATCTGTTATCACTCAGTCAACTAAAAAAAATAGTTAAGCGTGCAAGTCAACAGATAAGATGTGCAACTACTGAGTACTATCTTCTGACTCCTCTCTGCTGTGACGTGCTGCTCGTCTCCATCCTGACAACCCACCTAAGTAATGGTCAGGAAAAAAAAAAGAGTATTAAAAACATAGTTATCTACTGGTAGATCAAATGTTTAAAGAAAAGTATAATTCTTTCGAATACATTTTAGACACTGTTTTACCTCAGCTATTTGTTGAGTTTTCCATAATGTCTACTTTATCATATGTTTTAAAATACAAACTTACTTAAAAAATCTGTTTACTTGAGATGTAATCTCTACCTGAAAAAGATTACAGTCTAATAGTAATAAGATATACATTGTGGAATAAACTAAGCATGCCTAATTTTATTTACACATTAATTCATTCTTTTGTAAGTTTGTCAACATCAATCTGCAGGTTTTCTATACACCTAATAGTAGTCATTTTCACCTGGTCTAAACAGTCTATCAACCATCATCTTTACATAAACAAAAATCAGTTTACAGTCTAAGTGCATGAGCTAGCTTTTAATGATTTATACAGTTCTTAAACTACTTACAATCAACAGAAACCTGCCTATAAGGTACTGAGTTGGATAAAATATCTCGTATTACTAAAGGAAAATCATTGTGTAGGTTTCCTTTAAATGGACATCATTATACTTGTTTCAAGCACATGAAAGTTTGAGGTTATCTGAAGCTCACGTACTCAGGTTTTGTTTACATTGTAGTAGTACGGAACTTAATATCAAACGTACTTGGATAACAAACCCCATTCATGATCATCTGATTATTGATCTTTTTTATCTCAGTAGTCTTAAGTAATAACGATGTAGACTGACAGCATTACTGAAGGTAATAAACATTATGCTAAGATAATGTCACTTTTTTTTTATAAAAATAAACACTGGATGAATAAGAATGATCTGAAAAAACATGAGTTATGAGCTGAATAGTAAACTCAGTAACTTCAGAAATTCATTTGGACAGTTTGATCTCAATCACATAAAAATACTTTTCATCTTAAACTAACATATTTCACATCACTGTCTCTTTACATAACATACTTTTACAATCTAACTTACACAGAAAAACCTACTGATTGACCACAATATTTTCAATACAAAAGCTGTCACCCCACTCATACTAAACAAAATATTACCAATAGTCAAACTCTCTGAATCAAGAAAATCTGTTCTGATGAAACAAATTACAGAAAACACACCAAATATCTAGAACAAGCCATGTTACGAAGAGACTATAAAAATACCAGAATTGACAGATGGAATGAAATAGCTAAGAACACTCAATGAAAAACCATCCTTAAACAGTATAATGCTAATGGGTCAAACAGAATTCCAATTGTTATTACTTATCAATTTAAAGTCAGAAATGTTTTGCATATTTTGAATTTCCACCTACTGCAACTGAATGACTGCCTGAGAAGATTTTTTCGTGAAGTTCCAGTTGTACCCTTCCAGAAGAACAGAAACCTTAAAGACATTCTTGTTCAGGCAAAAATTAATTACATCTTATCACAGAATATCATATTCTAACCTGCAAGTTTATAAGAACCACCAATTATTTTTCAAACAAATAGGACCAAAAACACTAGAATCACTAAAGACATTACATGCATAACACCATTTAACTTGTACAGTGTGAAAAGTGCAATCACCAATATATAGGATAGACCCAACTGACTACTGGAGTGTATTTCAATAACACTAGAATCACTAAAGACATTTCATGCATAACACCATTTAACTTGTACAGTGTAAAAAGTGCAATCATCAGTATATAGGATAGACCCAACTGACTACTGGAGTGTATTTCAATAACACTAGAATCACTAAAGACATTTCATGCATAACACCATATAACTTGTACAGTGTAAAAAGTGCAATCATCAGTATATAGGATAGACCCAAATGACTACTTAAGTGTATTTCAATTACCACAAACCTTATATTAACACTGAAAAAGACCTCCCTGTTGTCAAATATTTCAAACAACTTGATCATTCTATTAATTATGTGATTCTAATTGGTACTGAAACCAGTTTCAAAACTAAATCTAATAAAGAATTGAAAGAAGCCTATTAGATTGCCACTTTTAATACTGTTCAATCTTGTGAAATAAATCTAGAACCTGGAATCAGTGATCTTTAATAGTTATTTCTCTGACAGAAAATTTTTTTTTCCTTATTCATGAAAGGTGTGAATTCTTTATTATTACTCCTAATCTTTCTTGTTTTGTATTTATTTATGGTCATTTTCTATGTTGTTTTTATCTTTTAAGTTCTATCTACTCAACACTTTGTTTTTAATCAATCTTTATATCACATCTTTATCAATAATCAATATAGTTTCCATTGACATTTTTTCTTTCTTAATACAAAACCATTCTAATATTCTAGTTTCCTGACTTATTGCACAGAAGAAAGGAAACACACCTGCTACAATCCACAGAAAGCTAATCAAAACACTTCCAGGTTATCATGGTGGTCTACCATGACATCACTCCACCTTTTATCACACTCGAAGTTCACCCCCGATGAAAGAAAGTTCACCTTTCTAAAACACTTGGGTTATTGGATTTCATTTACTTTTAAAACAATGCCTGATTTTACCCCTTCTCTTATACACAGGTTCAATGATAGAGTTCCAGTAAGAACTCTTCGGTTAATAGCATATTCAACCAAAACTATGTTGTTCCTTTTACTTTTGTTTGCTTTTTTTGAGTAAGTGTGTTGACATCGCACCACCTACTGGACCCCACAAAAAATTTCTTCATTAATACATGGAGTCAAAGTGTTGACTACTTTGAGTGCAAAGTGATTTTCATGTAAAGATTAAAAATACTTTTCATATGAAAATTTATAAATTCCATTTGTGTAATCTATAAAACCTCCTAAATAAATTTCAAACTTTTTGTTTTAGTAAAATTATCTGTTTTATCTTTTATTTTCTCTACCCTAACTGTGTTCAAAGTTGGTCAATTTGACCGATCTCTTAATCACCATCAAAAATATAAAAATAAATATAAATTACCCTTTTTTCTTTCTAGAATGGCTTCAATTTGTAACAGGAAACCAGACTTGTTTATCCTAAATAGCTTTAAACTCATAACAGAATATATCTGTTCATATGTAAAGTTTTTTGTTTTATTGCCTTTTGAACTGTGTCTAACTAATATTCCTGTTAGAGATGTTGTATTTCACTTGTGTTACCCTACCAAATTACAATAATACATGGGCTACTCACGAGTTGCTCAAGAAAGTGCCTTGTGAAAAATTACTTTTTATTTATCTAATCTAACCTAAAAACTTTCCTAATTTTTACATTTAGTTACTTTTATAATAATAAATAAAGAATACAGATGAAAAACAAGAAAAAGTACTTACCTGGGTCTTCTCTTTTTTTCTTTTTTTTTGCTGTCTACTGTAGATGAAACTTAATGCTACTTTTTTATACTAATGGTACTACTGCACTAAATACTATTTTATTCAATTAAGTAATGCACCCAAGAACACAGAATAATAAATGCTAGAAGAAAACAATGTCCTATAACTATCACAATTTTTCTGGCTTTCTAGCTATGTAACAAGAGCCATTAAAAATTCAGCTAAGCTCATCAATGTGTTTCCCCCTAGGAATAAATTTCAAACTGAAAGCGATATAGACAATTCTCTGTAAAGAAAACAAAGTAATGTATTATGTCATTTGGTAGATTAAAACTTTGGCTTTCTATTGGTTATAGATAATATAGTATTAAACATCAGTGAGAATTACTGGCAATTTCTGAAAGAGATAATGTGAAAGGTGGGTGTAGCAAGATGGGGTCTGATTTTCTGGGTTATGGCTCTGTAATAAGATTGAAGGCTATAAAAATTATGCTTTGTCTGAAAGATGACAACATTATATTAAATATTATACATTAAATTTCTCTTTTCTTGGAGGGATTGTAAATAAATTAGGGATGATTAGAGAGCAAATGTCAATTCACACACACTAGGAGAAATTCAGGATGTTTTTCAATATTGCCTTATAAAATCAAGAACTTAAAACTTATATAACATCCAAATTTATATTATTAGTTATATTTTTATGCCAAGTTTGTTCATACACCATAATAAGAAAGTAGCGTAATTAAATTTTGGACATAACTCAGAAAAAACATTGTGATGTGCAGAAAAGGATACCTGTAGCAAGAGAGTTAAATTTCATAAATGCAGAACTCTATAAAAAAAATCAAGTTTCCATGCTTACCTCCTGATCTGAGCTGATTCAAAGATGCTAGCATCCTAATCATAAAGGATGCAGGTACTGTGATTGTGTCTTTTGTTTCTTCTAACATAATTTCGTTACGTCTCATAATCTGAATTTAAAAAAATTTAAGTATCACACAAAAAACTTCTGAACTTCTGCAATAGGATAAATCAACATTAGGCCTACTGCCAGGAAAAACAATTTCATAAGTAAAGTTTTATATTAACTTCTAGAAGTAAAATCAATGAACTTGTAAATATTAGTAAAATACAGTTAAATATCACTAGGGAAACATTAGATTTTCGTGAGCTTCATATCATCAATTTTAAATTACTTGCAACTTATTCCCCTGTTTGCTGCACTACATTGTGTTTTAAAGCTCTCCTATTTTATATGCTCAACTAATTCTTAATTTATTGTCATTTCAGTCATACAAAGACTGCTTATGTAAAGTAATGAAGGGGGTTACTGATAAAAAAGGCATCTCCATTGAACTTAAAAACCCTGTTTATGTTTAAGATTGTGGTCTGCACAAATTAAATTTACCCTTACATCATCATGATTAAAAAATCTGGTCTTTGAAGAGATATGAAAAGAGTAGGGTAGATAGAACATGAGAAGAAAAAATATACAACAGTACCTGTGACTGTTCATATATTATCAGTTAAGACAAAAAGCAACAAAATGTCTTTTAAATAGAAATATTCCAATGCAAAAGATACATCACTTGTAAACATCAAATAAGTGTTTAGTATGTCAGCCACAAACATCAAGTACTTGAGCTAGTCTACCTAGACTTTCTTTGCTGAACAATGTCATGATAACAAAACAAACTAAAAAATAATGGATTGACTCTTCCAATTGTGTTCTTTATTTCTAGAAAAATTAACACTACATGTAGAGTAGATATTAATTTTACCCAAACACTAAATACAAATACCACAAAGAGTATTCCATGAACAAGAAAATTATACTTCTCTAACTTAAAGATAAAATCTGTCTTACAAAAATAAGTTACCTTATGCTAAAACCTAGGTTACTACCATTCAATACCTAACTTCCACTCCAGTCCAGAATGTAATGTTAAAGACTACTACATTACATAGTTTCAAAATGTAGTTAAAGATGGAAGTGTACTGTGAGAATGTACACTAGAAGAAAGAATTCAGACAAAATAAGCTCCAATCGAAAAAGTGTGAAGATGAACCAGACCAGAGATTCTTATCTCCGAGGTTGTTAATACAGTGAAGAAATTGAAAGCACCAGGAGTGGATTATATACCAGTCGTACTGATAAAGACAACATGGGAAAAATGAATACAACTATTGCACAGACTCTGTAACAAGGCTTGTAAAAGTAGAGAATGTTCTACTGACTGGATGAATAAAGATGACACAAGGAAATGTTGGTAAAACAGAACTGTTTCATTTACATGACATGCAAGTAAGGTTCTATTATATATATTGATAGATAAGACATTGACATAAAAAGATATCAAGAAAACAAGCAGGATTTCAGAAAAGACCATGTTACAAAAATGAGAGAAATTAATCAAGTTCTACTTTTAGTTTTCAACTACTACAAGGATTTTCATGAACTGATGAAAATATTAATATATGCATCCTGGAGCAAAAAAAACAAACAGACAGCCTAGAGAACATCATCAATTGTAGTATTATGTATTCAAGTTAGTTTACTTCTGTCATACAACAAGAATTGACAGAGATAAACAGCAAAAATTAGTGATGTAAAGAAAAACTGACAAAAGGCAAACATAAGATCCTCCTAGAAGTATATGAAATGCAATAATTGGAAAAAAGCTGGAAATGTTTAACAAGGAATGCTGCAATTGTGAGAAGTGAAGGAAAATTGTCAGGTGAATTACTATAAGTTGATTATGACTGGAAGACAATGACAAGAACAAAGATTCAACATTCAGCTACAAACCAGTATTAATAACTAACTTCCTCTCTGGTCTGGAATGCCAATGTTAAATACCTCTCCAATACAGATTCTCAGTGTTAAATTCTGATATCCATTCTAATATGTCAATATCTACCTACCACTTCAGTCCAGAATAGTAATGTCAACTTTAAATACTGCTTCATTACAGGGCTTCAAGATCCAATTCTTAGCACATTCCAGTGTCAATATCTTATTTTCAGTCCAAAATATCAATATTAAGTACCTCTCAACATTCAACTCTAGCCCAGAATGTCAGGGTTATATGCAACTTCATAACTTTAATTACAACTCTTGGCTCTGGTCCAGTGTGTCAATACCTTACTCCCACTCCAGCCCAAAATGTCAGTGTTACATACCTCTCCTATTGAAAACTTGAACTTTCAATTCTCAGCTCCAATATAGCATAAATACCTAACTCCCACTTCAACCCAAACTGTCAGTGTTGTATACAACTCCACTACATAACTTCAATATTTTACTCTCAGCTCCAATCCAGAAAGTTAATACCTAACTCCCACTTCAACCCAAACTGTCAGTGTTGTATACAACTCCACTACATAACTTCAATATTTTACTCTCAGCTCCAATCCAGAA